CTATTGATGTGAAAACCCTTGGAGATAATGGTGAGTGTCTCTCTCTCTCTCTCTCTCTCTCTCTCTCTCTCTCTCTCTCTCTCTCTCTCTCTCTCTCTCTCTCTCTCTCTCTCTCAAGGTAAAGTTAACACACAAATGTCCCCATATAACCGTCCCTCAACACACCTGTCCATCAATACACCTGTCCAAAACACACCTGTCCAACTACACCAGTCATTCAACACACTTTTGTATCACGCCTTCACGTTATAAATAGATTTCGTCCAATATAAAATGAAACACAGTACTCAGCATCATTCTTTACCATAACAGGTGATTTTTCGGATAGTTTCGTTCACTTCCACGCCATAAAACGCTCTTAAAACACGGCCTTTTGATGCTGCAATAGAATGTAGTTTTATTTTTGTCTATGATAAATATTAGACTATATTATTATTATTATTTACAGAATAATTATGTCCAAACAATGCGAAGAGTTACACAAAAACAATAGTGCTCTCTCTCTCTCTCTCTCTCTCTCTCTCTCTCTCTCTCACTCCTTTCTTTGCGTCACCACGATGGGGAACTGAGGCGTTAATTTTATATCGGCACATAAAACCGCTATCATTCCCAGCATTCATTTTATTCATTTTTGTAGCAGATTATTGTAAAATTCCCTCGAAGCGTTGTCATACCGGGCATATTTGTATACAGGTGGTGGTGGTGGTGGTGATGGTGGTGGTGGTGGTGTGGTGGTGAGGTGGTGGTGAGTGGTTGGTGGTGTGGTGATGGTGGTGATGGTGGTGGTGGGTGGTGGTGGTGGTGGTGGTGGTGGTGGTGGTGGTGAGGTGGTGGTTATGGTGGTGATGGGTGGTGGTGGTGGTGGTGGTGGTGGTGGTGGTGGTTGGTGTGAGTGGTGATGGTGGTGATGTGGTGGTGGTGGTGGTGGTGGTGGTGGTGGTGGTGGTGGTGGTGGTGGTGTTGGGTGGTGGTGATGATGGATGGTGGTGGTGGTTGGTGGTGGTGATGGTGGTGGTGATGGTAGTAATGATTGTGGTAGTGCTAAGTGGTGGTTATTTTACCTGTTTTATTCTGACTGCTTATCAAACTCTCTCTTCTGTCAGTGGCTCCATTTGTGTCTGTCAGTCTCAATAACTATCCTTCTCTCGCATTCTGTCTATTTTTATTCGTTTAATCTGTTTCTTTGTTTACCTGTCTGTCTATCTATCTGTGTTTCCGTGAGTTATTCTCTCTCTCTCTCTCTCTCTCTCTCTCTCTCTCTCTCTCCTAACATCCTACTCATCCTTTCGTCTAGGTAATTAATTTCCTGACTAGTTGACAAATTATTGGAGTTCTGATTCCTGACGAAATCTTTGAATGCTTAACCTGCCATATCTACTGCCCTATAGGGTCGTCCTGGAGGGTAGTCGTTCTTGTGGGGGTGCGTCCTGGGAAGTCGCTTTAGTGGGACCAACGGGTGTGTGTGTGTGTGTATGCATGTGTGTGTGTGTGTGTGTGTGTGTGTGTGTGTGTGTGTGTACGTCAGTCACTATCTTCCTCAGTCTCTCTTCGCTATTTGCCTTAATATATGTCTTTACTGCCTTTCTCTCTCTCTCTCTCTCTCTGTCTCTCTCCCTTCACTCATTTACATAGTAATTATTTACAAATCTCAGGTTTGACATGGGTCGTTGCCTCTGGTTACACTGTAAGGGGCCTAATCTGTCTCTGGCAACGTGTGGAGGTCAGGGCATTTATCACAGCCTCTGAAGAGGTCAAACGCCTCCTCTAGTAACATTGTCAAGGTTTGAGAATCCTTCGTCTAGTAACAGTTAGGGAAGGGTTTTGTTCCATTCTGGTAACACACACACACACACACACACACACACACACACACACACACACACACACACACTAAAAAAGACCCTCTCACCATAACCCCATTTATAAGACCTATTTTCGTACTCTCAATCACAAGTTACACTCCCGTCCAAAGGATAAAAATAATGACAACACACAAACACAACAACAATTTTCTGTTTACACACAATAAGTTTCCAAAAAGCCGGGAAAAGTTTCCACCTCCGAGACACAATCATTTTATGTGTGTATTGAGAGAGAGAGAATCATTGGTTCAGGATCTCTCACCAAACCTTATCACTCACAAAACACTTATCTACAAACATATCTCTGTACATCTATACAAACACCTCTCTACAAACACCTCCTGCAAACACTTATCTACCACACCTCTCCCACAAACACCTCTACCACAAACACCTCTCCCACAAACGCCTCTACCACAAACACCTCTACCACAAACACCTCTACCACAAACACCTCTCCCACAAACACCTCTCCCACAAACACCTCTCCCACAAACACCTCTCCCACAAACTCCTCTCCCACAAACACCTCTCCCACAAACACCTCTCCCACAAACTCCTCTCCCACAATAAGGGCATGCAAGATTATTCTCTCCCCTTCCTACTCCACATATGAAGAAGCGCTCAACACACTGACCCTTTCGACTCTCACTGACCATCACCACGACCTCATCTGCAAATTTGGTAGGAAGCTTCTACACCATCCCCGACACCGGCTCCTACTACCACCTGAGATCCCTAGCCCGAGAATTGTTGTTCGACACCACAACCGCATCCAGCCCATACGTGCACGAACTGATCGCTATAAGAACAGCCCAGTCCCAACCATTGTAAAAATTATCAATAACTTGTAATAAACCAGTGTATTCACTCCCAGTAAACACTACTTCTTGCACTGTCACTATGTTGAAATGCCCTGTAGTTTGAGCTTTTTCCCATCTAGTTATTATATATCTTATTTATATCACTTATGTTATTTGTATATTATTTGTAATTCGAAACCCATTCCCCAAATATGTAACTGTATATTTTCAGCCTTCTGGCTGCCAAGCTCTTTCAATAAATCGTTAATTATTATTATTATTATTAAGTAAGAGAGGTAAATTTTGTGTAGGGATCTTCCGGCCACAAGACGTGATGAACGCCGCCACAATGATTTCTGTAACTGACTTATAATTGCCAATAGCGGAGACTGTTGCTGGGAAGTTCTACCAACTGATTGTGTCCCACGGCACAGTGAGAGAGAGAGAGAGAGTGAGAAAGAGAGAGAGAGAAAGAGAGAGAGAGGGGGGGGGGTCTTAGGACTATATTCAAAGAGTTAAAAATTCACCCAAAGACTGGTTCAGTAAGGCCCGCGAGACACACAATGATCCATCTCTCCCTCCCCTCTCTCCCTTCCTCTCTACCTCCCTCGCCTTAATGCTTAATCCCTCCATCTCCTTCCCCTAAATCCCTTCCACCTCCCTCCGTCAATCCCATCGAACGAGTCTACCTTAATGGAACAATATTGACGACGGTAGCGGAGACGGAGGAGAGAACCCCCCCTCCCCCTCACCCCTTCCCCTTCCCACTCCCCCTACGCCCCCTCCTATCAACGACGACGAATATGAAACGTCTCATCCAATTGGCTGGTTGCTGGGGTGACGATAGCCTTTGAAGAGACAGACACACAGACAGACACACGCTGAGGCTGTGAAGAAACGACCTGCCAGCCACAGCAGCAGACACGGCACCAGCGGCAAACACTTGATTGAAGGTGGTAATGGGATGAAGGGGGGCAGATGATCGTATAATTAAAAGCTCCTCTCTCTCTCTCTCTCTCTCTCTCTCTCTCTCTCTCCAGAAGTGATCACATCAAGTCCGGGGTCTTACTGTGTGCATGTCAAGGAGGTACAGATGAGTTCCTTTATACCTGGGCTTGGGGCAGGTCCTCGGGTTATTGCACTACCGACTTGTTGTATGATGGCTTCTGATAGTTATGAGTTTGTCGTGTGATCATAGCTAACCTAACCTAACCGAACCTTAATCTACCCTACACTAACACTACTTATCCTAACCTAACCTAACCGAACCTTAATCTTCCCTACACTAACACTACTTATCCTAACCTAACCTAACCTAACCTAACCTAACCTAACCTACTCTAACCTAACCTAACCTAACCTACTCTAACCCGTTACCAAAGGAAATACATTAGTAGAGACAAACAGAAACACCCTGCCTGTTGGTGTCAAGTTTACACATAAATATAGAAGTGGGTGGAGGAAGGGAGAGGGAGGGAGAGAAGGAAGGAAAAACAAGAGAGGAGAGAAGAAGGGAGAAGGAAGAGAAAGACGGGAGAGGAAGGGAGTAGACAGAAGGGGAGAGGGAGGAAGAGAGGAAGGGGAAGGAGCGAAAGGAAAGGAAGGAAAATGAGTGAGAGGGAAGAGAAGAAAGGGAAGGGAGAGAAGGAAAAAAAAACAACAAAGAGGAAGGGAAAGAAAGGGGAAATTATCATAATTGCGTGTGTGTGTGTGTGTGTGTGTGTGTGTGTGTGTGTGTGTGTGTGTGTGTGTGAGTGCACAGACCCCACACGAGCCAAGAGAGACGTGTGTGTGTAATATGTGATGAATAAATATATATGTATATATAGTAGACCAGCTTACGCTTGAATTATTCTCGTATATATACATAACGTTAATGAACTGATTCAATATACGCGTGGTGGTGGACGTCAGCAGAGTTATATGTAGGTTGGGGAAAATTTCTTGGGGATATTCGTGAGTTGGGGAAATTTCTTGAGAGAGAGAGAGAGAGAGTTAGAAAAAAATAAGATAAAGAAAACGAAATAAAGAAAGATAGAGCGAAATAAAAAGAAAGAAAGAAAGAAAGAAAGAAAGAAGCGACCAAACAAAACACCAGTAATCCCTTTAAACTTTCACCACTGGGATGGACCAGGCCCTAAATTCTCAACACATCTCCTCACATCCCCAGGTACTGCACACCTTTGATGACCCACCAATTAATTACACCAAAGGATTCTTCAGTAAACTCGCATAGTGAGTTTAAACGTCACGAACGATTATCTTGTTAGTAATATGGCGGCGATATGCGTGTTTGACTGTAGTGTACGGATTAGGGGAGGGGGCTCAGGTACACACACACACACACACACACACACACACACACACACACACACATACACACACACACACACACACACACACACACACACACACACACACACACACACACACACACACACACACACACACACACACACACACACACACACACACACACACACACACACACACACACACACAGACACACACACACTTCCTGTCTACTTTCATCTTGCTCTTGATAAAGGTACTGTAGAAGGTCCCTATCACAAACCATGAGTACAACACTGCAGGCCAGGGACACTCGGCCACGCAGCTTGGTGTAGTGTTCGTATGACTGACACTTTGCTGTATGGAGGAGGCACTCAACTCTTTTCCTCGAGTAGGCCATCAGGCAGGTGAGAGAGAGGCAGGGGGAAGGGGGTAAGAAGGGGTAGAGGATTGGAGGGTAGGAGGGGGTAGGAGGGGGAGGTAAAAATTGGAGTTAGTGTGTAAGAGGAGGAGCCATTTGATGCTGACACCCACATAGCACTCGCGGCCTTAACTTCGTCAGGAGTGCCACAGTGATCCTGCTGACACGGGAAGTAAGATGCTAAGATGCACATTTTCTTGTTCACTCTGGTCACCCCTGAGAGCCTGGATATAACACGCAGGGTCTTGACGGGGGGCTGCACGAGAGGCCTTGACGGGGAGCGGGGCTGCACGAGAGGTCTTGACGGGGGGCTGCACGAGAGGTCTTGACGGGGGGCTGCACGAGAGGTCTTGACCACGAGGTCTTGACAGGGCTGCACGAGAGGTCTTGACGGGGGCTTGACGGGGGAGGTCACAGGGGGATGCAGGAGTCTTGACTGAGGGAGAGGGGGTGGAACATCTTGCACCTTGGCTACAAAAGTGTGTGTGTGTGTGTGTGTGTGTGTGTGTGTGTGTGTGTGTGTGTGTGTGTGTGTGTGTGTGTGTGTGTGTGTGTGTGTGTGTGTGTGTGTGTGTGTGTGTGTGTGTGTGTGTGTGTGTGTGTGTGTGGGGCTGTCCTCCAGGCAGCCTCTAGAGATGACAGGTTACAGCAGGCACAAGTCTTCTTATTAAACATGCATCAGGCATCTCACAGGAAAGAAAAGAGCATTCTGTGCTTTGATTGTTGGAGGGAGGGAGTGAGAGGTAGGGCAGGGGAGGTAGAGGCAGGGGGGAGGTGAGGCAAGGGGGGAGAGGTAGGGCAGAGAGCAGGGGGAGGTGGGCAAGGGGGAGAGGGGGGAGGTAGAGAGGGAGAGGTAAGGGGAAGAGAGAGAAGAAAGAGAGGAAGGAAGAGAGGCAGACAGGGTGGGGAGATAAGTGAGCAGGGATAGAAGAGGAGGGAGGGAGAGAGGAGGGGAGGGGAGTGGGGGGGAAGATAAGAGGAAACGAAAAGAAGGAGAGAAGGGAGAAAAAAAGGAGAGGGAGAGAGAAAGGAGATGAGAGAGAGATATTCTTTTAGATTCTACAACGTACAATAACCGAGGACCCCCCTCTCTCTCTCTCTCACCCTGCAGGAAGTAACTACCTGACCTCATCACCATAAATTATCATCACAACAGACAGACAGAGTGTAAATTATCACTGCCTCTCTCTTAATTCAGGTCGTGTTTTGTCTCTCTCTCTCTCTCTCTCTCTCTCTCTCACCAGAAGTCAAGCCCAAAGGATCGTTTGTGGCGTCTCTCACCAGAATCTTTACCGCGGGATAAAGGCGTCTCCTCTTTACCTCTCCTGTACGCCAATGTTCCTGCATCATTCACACACACACACACACACATCAAAGATCCGGCGGCCAGAGTTCGAGGTACACATACACGCGTCCACACATACACGTTCAGACACAAAATACACACACATAAACACACACACGCACAAACATACATACATACATACATACATACATACATACATACATGCATACATAAACTCATCAAGATCCTTTATCTCTGAATTCAAAGACGCCATTATTGTTATGGTTCTTAAGGGAGATTAAAGGTGCACGTTCCTATGCCTTGTACACCTTTATCCTGGCCATTAGGGAGGATGATCACACACACACACACACACACACACACACACACACACACACACACACAGTAGCTACATATCATAGTCATTTCAAGAATAGTTTAAGAAATACAAGGTAAATCACCCTCAACAATGACTTGACAGCTCTTGTGAAGTGTACTAGACGGGGAGAGAGAGAGAGAGAGAGAGAGAGAGAGAGAGAGAGAGAGAGAGAGAGAGAGAGAGAGAGAGAGAGAGAGAGAGAGAGAGAGAGAGAGAGAGAGAGAGAGAGAGAGAGAGAGGTAGTCATGCTGTATTCCCTAAAGGTAGTCTCCTGGCACACAATAATTACAATACATTCAACATTTCAGCTTCGAGACTAATGATGTATTGCAGTTATTATTATTATTATTATTATTTTTATTAACGTTAGAGGTAGAGTAAGTGAAACACGGGATAATGTAGAGTTTTTGGATATGTTTTTCCATGTTTTCATTGTCTCATTCTTTTTTTTTGACTTTTGGTGTCTGATTCTTTGTCGTTGTTTTATTATTATTATTATTATTATTATTATTATTATTATTATTATTATTATTATTATTATTATTATTATTATTATTATTAATTTGATTTGCAGTAGCAGAATCATCATCATCATTATCATTATCATCATCATCATCATCATCATCATCATCATCATCATCATTATCACCTTCCCAAAAAAGCCATTCGTCCATCAATAATATAATTAATTAATCACCCATAACAGGTAACAAACTCTACCTGTGTCTCCTCATTTCCTTACACCTACACCCCGTACACCTACACCCCCTGTACACCTACACTCCTGCACACCTACACCCCCGTACACCTACACCCTGCACACCTACACCCCTGTACACCTACACCCCTGTACACCTACACCCCTGTACACCTACACCCCGTACACCTACACCCCGTACACCTACACCCCGTACACCTACACCCCCGTACACCTACACCCCCCGTACACCTACACCCCGTACACCCACACCCTGCACACCTCACCCCGTACACCTACACCCCTGTACACGTACACCCCCGAACACGTACACCCCCGAACACCTACACCCCGTACACCTACACCCCTGCACACCTACACCTCCGTACACCTACACCCCGTACACCTACACCCCTGTACACCTACACCCCTGTACACCTACACCCCGTACACCTACACCCCGTACACCTACACCCCCGTACACCTACACCCCCGTACACCCACACCTCCGTACACCTACACCCCTGCACACCTCACACCCCCACACCTACACCCTGTACACCTACACCCCTGTACACCCACACCCCTGTACACCTACACCCCTGTACACCTACACCCCGTACACCTACACCCCCGTACACTCAGCTTGAACTAAATCCTTCTCTCCTTCTCTTGTTAACGAGCGGACATGAATACCAGACTAACAGACACAGCATTATCCCTCTCTCTCCAGTGGTGGTATATATACAACAGTTAAAGTGAAAACGGGAATAATAACAGTAACAGTGGGCTCTCCTGTTTTGGATACTGTTGACTTTGCCGTTGATGCTACTGTTGTTGTTTTAATGTTGTCTGTTACTGTTGCTGGGATGGAGGAGCAACAGAAGCAACAGGAAGACTCCACCAGCTGAAGACGTTAGTAACACACACACACACACACACCACACACACACACACACACACACACACACACACACACACACACCTGTTGCAGCTTGCCTCACATAACAGAGAAAAGAGAGAGAGAGCAGGTATAGGTAGTAATCTGTCGCATACCACATCATTTCTTCTCTCTCTCTCTCTCATCCACAACTTAAAACACCCAAGAGGGATTTTCAAAGCCACAATCCCTGGGTAATGAGTCTTGGGGTCTTAGGAGAGGAGGTCTTGTGTTACGGGAGGGAGTAGGAGGAGGTGGGGGTGTTTCAGGTAGGGGAGGGAAGGGTTTGTGTTTTTTTGCTGGGGAGGGGGGAGGAGGGGGTGAGGTCCTTGCGATATGATTGCTTAAGAACGCCTGGGAGAGATGGTGGAGGGAGGGAGGGAGGGAGATGGAGGAGGGAGGAGGAGGAGGAGTGGGAGGGAGGGAGGGAGGGAGAGATGTGAGGGAGGGAGGAGAGGGAGTTGGTGTGTTCGACTGTGTCGTGTGAGGAGGTTGTGTGTGTGTGTGTGTGCATCATTAATAAATATGACACACACACACACACACACACACACACACACGCACACATGGTCAGTACACTATCACTACACGTTAAGTCTGTCTCTGAGTTTGTATATATCAACACACCTTTCTGCTTGTAAAAAATATTAGGTTGCGTTATTAAAAGTATTACGTGTCATTAACATACTCTGAACGCACCTCTTCACCCTACAGGTTCTGGCGTACTGAACACCTGTGTCTGTCATTATCAACACCTGCAGCTGAACACAGGAGCCGACACCTGTACCTGGACGTGACTGCAGGTGTACGCTCATTAATCACGGCGTCACACCTGCTCGCCAATCTTCAGGACGTAAAACATCTGTTCGATGCGTGAAACTCGTATGAAGACGAAGTGGGGTATGGAACAGGTGTACAGTGACCAATAGGAACGTGAAACAGGTGTACAGTGACCAATAGGAACGTGAAACACCTATTTAGTTATAAGAAAATAAACCAACCAGAGTAAATACATAAGAATTTGGGCCTTTGATTGGTAGAGAGAATAATGTTCAACCAATAAGAGAATAGAAAGTATATATAACAAAATGATAACTACCCGCACAAAGTAGAATACTATACTTTCACTAACAAAACGTTTCAACCTTTCTACTGGTGTACGAGTGTGAAAACTAAATTTACTTTCTCCAACAAACAACAACAACAAAATTTAAATATTCATCGTAAACAAAACACCAGCGAAAATATACTACATTCTCTAGCAAACAATTGTAAACAAACAAACTGTTAATTTATAAAGATTGACGTTGAGGAAGAAAGAGAAGAGACAAAGAAGAGAATAAGAGAATAGAGGAAAATTAACAAGAAAAACAGGTATAGGAATCACTGAGAAAGACATAATCAAGAAAACTAAGAAAGAGAAGAAAGAAGCAAGAGACAATCAAGTAAAGTAAGCAAGAAAACAATAAAAATACCAACAACATACAAGGAAAACAAGGAAAAATATCACCAAACAAGTAAACAAACTGACTTTTTCTTGGTAAACAAAAACAATGATAATACCTTAAAAACAGTATTAAAACAAACAAACAATAAAAGATACCGGGGATAAGAAAGTAAGCAAGAATAAATAAACAAGATATACAAAAAAATTCAAAAAATAAATTCGAAAAAATAAGAAAATAAATCAGGGAAAAATAAATAATAAATTAAATAGAAAATCTAAAAAAATAATTAAGTAAAAGCAAAAAATAATAATTCCCAAAAGACGAAAAAGTAAAATAAACGAAAATTTAACTAATTAGCAAGATAAAAAATTAAAACACAGATAAACAGACAAATCAGGTAAAACAAACAATCTTCTTCTGGCAGTCGTGTAAACAATGCAAACAACAGTAGATTGATTAATAAAAGTCAACATTGCATGAGAGATCACGTTGCAAGGAAGAGGAGGAGAGAGATATTTGGTAACTGGGAGAAGGTGACTGACGCCAAGCTGTTGAAAAGACGAGAGACGAGATTACCAGGAAATAAGCAACGCCATCTTTGGTCTTTTAGGACAGTCAGGCGAGTAAGTTCAATCTCAGTAAAGGCAAAGCAACAACGTGAAGATAGATATTGACACAAGCACAACATATATCCCCTGCCTCCCCACTGTCTTGGTTAACCTCACGTGAAGAACTCCCTAGACGTGAAGACAAGGCAAAGAAATACTCCAAATAATATCTTGTACACAGATTCCAACTCGTGTAAGAGGGAGGGAGAGAGAGAATTTAAGAGACATGACCACAGTACCTCCGTCTTCCCTTCGTCAGGTATTTTCCTCTCTATTACAAACAATATAGTCGACAGGTAATGCTAGTGTTGACTCTGAAGGGGTAGGGAGAGAGAGAGGTCAGTACTCGCCTGTAAATACAAGAGTAAGTCCTGCTGTGGAGCTTGACAGAATAGAGAAAGGGATCAACGTCCAGGGGCGAGTGTGGAACTGCATACTTGAGAGATTGGTGGACGCTGAACTGCATTTAGAATAGCACTGGTAAAAATAGAAACAGCATTTACAGCACACCAAGGCAGGATACAGAGGGAGGACCTGTATCTGCCTGAAGGTGACACAGGCAGGATACAGGGGAGGACCTGGTAGGATACAAGGGAGGACCTGTATCTTCCTGAAGGTGGAACAAGGCCTAACACCATCCCATTCAGCGTCTTAACATGAACAGTAAACAAGATGACGTCGCGTGAGTGTGTGAAACAAAGTGACTCACAAATGACGACCAACAGCCCACGAGTGTTCCCTGAGTGTGTTGTGGAGCGTCGGGGACAAACACACACTCAAACACGAAACTACAAGTGAGAGTTTCAAGGCGATGAACAACTCAAAGGAACATTATAGAAAGTTCCAAGATAATGAAAAAAATGTGGAGGAATTTTACACTGGAATTATCAGACAATGAAATCTTAAGAGTGTCCCCGGGCAGAATAAACTCGAGGGATCTGTGTATAAAACCTGCCAGAGTTGAAAGCTGTGTTGTAACAATACTTAAAGTTGTAGAAGCAAACATGAGGCACTGGGGAGAAATATACCCGAGACGGTAAGAGCAGGTTAACACGAGTGACGGATATATCAGGTCAACAGGACTGATATAGGTGGGATAAATATATAATCAAGGTCACTGGGCGTGTTGTGTCGTGTCGTGTCGTGTTGTGGTGAGATTTAAGTGTGTATGTGTGTGGTGTTCGTAGTAACTCTCGCCACATGAGGGAGAGGAAACAGTGTTGACGTTTTCTCTCTCCTGGTGGTGAAGTTGTTCACGTGGAAAGAATTAAAAAGTTAACTTAGAGCGAAGTGTGTCCACCTCTTGTGTGTGTTCGTGAGGCACTCATGTACTGAATACAGCCACAGCCGAATCTAGTGGGTCATAAGTGTATTGACTCGTACTGCTGCTGTTGTCGGTCACTGGGACAAGAGTCTGACGTGACCAGTGGAAGGCAGTGATGTGTTGACCAAGTTTACCGTAAAGATGGCGTGGCCGTCACCAGGTAACGGAGGTGTGGCAGGTGTGATGGCCACCTCCAGTCTGCTTCTCAACACAGCTGTGTCCACCACCATCACCCCGGCAAACATGACCTTCCTGGACACACCCATGCTGGACAAAAACTCGAGTTTCCTGGACACGTGGGAGAACTGTACCCAGCCTTTAGGACACGTAGACTGGACGGACATAGGGATGCTGACCTCCCTCACGGTGCTGATGGTGATCAACGTCCTGGTGGTGGCTGGCAACTGTCTAGTCATCCTGGCTGTATTCCTCTCCAGTAAGCTTCGCACCGTCACCAACCTCTTCATCGTCTCCCTGGCCGTCGCCGACCTCCTGCTGGGGATGGCGGTGCTCCCCTTCAGCGTCACAGTGGAGGTGTTCGACACGTGGCTCTTCGGGAAGCTCTGGTGTTCAGTCTGGCTCGCCGTCGACGTCTGGATGTCCACCGCCTCTATACTGAACCTGTGCGTCATCAGCCTCGACCGGTGAGTACAACCTGGCCTCGTAACCTCCACACCCACCTGGCCTCGTAACCTCCCACCCCTACCTGGCCTCGTAACCTCCCACCCCTACCTGGCCTCGTATCCTCCCACACCCACCTGGCCTCGTAACCTCCCACCCCTACCTGGCCTCAGCAACCTCCCACCCCTACCTGGCCTCGTAACCTCCCACCCTACCTGGCCTCGCACTCCCCCCTACCTGGCCTCGTATCCTCCCACAGGTACGCGATTCACAACAACACTTCCGTAAATGTAAATAAAACACAGGTCGTTGCTGCCCCTAAAACAATGTATTTACAACTGTGGGTCATTCACCTCACTAAAACACTGCTGAATGTTTGTAAATAAATCACACTAGATCCCTTTTCCTCCCCAAATATTTTCCCCAATGACAAGTCTATTATCTTGAGAGAACTGTAAAAAACATTCCCCACAAAGATGTATTTACAATCAAAAGCTCACAAAATTCACTGTAAATCTGTAAATAAAATTCTACGGTATATTCTTCCATTTAAAAACTCAATCAACTCAAAGCGTCGGTTATAACACAAATAAACCAGATCGTTACAATAAATAACATCACTTTCCTTGGGATCTGAACGTCTATAAATATAAGAGGAAGAGAATTCGATCCTATAAGGGAGTCTAAGATAAGGATCTGATCTTATATGGCGTTTGTTTACCTATAGAGGGAAGGAACAAGATGGCGGCGCTTCAGGGGCGTAATTAATCATGTATTTATATATTTAATTTATTTAATTACCTACTTATCTGTCTTAACTTATTAAACTGGTTGTGTATTTATCAACAGAATATAATTATATGTTTTACTCTATCTCAGGAGAGAGAGAGAGAGAGAGAGAGAGAGAGAGAGAGAGAGAGAGAGAGAGAGAGAGAGAGAGAGAGTGAAAACAAAACGAGAGAAAGAAAGAAATAGAAAAGGAGAGCAAAAGAGAGGAAAAGAGAAAGAAAACGAAGAATGTGTAGAGAAATTTTAATACCCCACTAATGGCTAAGACCCTCCTTTCACCCTCACTCCCCTAACTTTATTTAAGGGTAGTTTAGTCTCATTAATTCACAAAGTTTGAAGAGAGATTTGTGATGAAGAGATCGTGGCGTAACACCACTGCTAATGACTGGTGTTATCGAAGATCGTCAGCGTGGGAGATCGTTCGCCTGGCGTTAGGTGTCGTGACGTCAAGAGGTTAAATATTAGAATCACCTGAAGAATCACCACCCCTGGCTTATTGCATTTGGGGAGGAGGAGGTTAGGTTATGTTAGGTTAGGTTAGGTTAGGTTATGTTAGGTTATGTTAGGTTATGTTAGGTTATGTTAGGTTATGTTGGGTTAATTCCTTAAGGTGAAACAGGCTGGGGCGGATATACTTGAGCCAGTAAAGGACTCCACCTCACTTGAGGTCTAACCTGCTTGTTGAGGGTAAACACCTGCTTTATATCAACACCTACACACCCAACCTTCATCTTCATACCTGACCTCTGACCTCTGACCTCCCACCCCCTCAGCACACAGCAGCTCTAGAGGTTGTCAGAGCCCATAAACTAGCCCTCGAGGCAAATAAAAAAAGCAGAGTGAATATTTATCATTATATACTAATACGATTAACTTAGCTTTCCAGGTGTGTTGACAGACAGACAGACAGACAGACAGGAAAGCAGATTGACAGAGAGGGACATAGAGGCGAAGAATAATAAAGGTGACACTGTTTATTATTAT